AAAATCTGTGGAGTTCCCCTTTAACAACATCTGCTTACACACGGACTGGAGCGTGCACGCAGTTTACCTGCTGTGGAGGAAACAGGTGCTTGGTCAGAGAAATGCGATCCAAACTGTTCAGGACAGTTAGGTGTTACTGATATCACTGGGCTGACCGTGAGAGGCCTCTCTGTCTGAATGAGTGCTTTCACATCACAAGCATGCATGCTCACGTACACACAAACACACGCATGTGTATATAAAGCACTTTGTGGCCATTTGCAGATGCAGAGATGTGATCGGGGTTTTGTTATTTATATTCTGGTCGTGTCTCACTCAGAAGATGTTTTCTTTTTCTCCTTCTATCAGATCTTTGAAAGAGCTCGGTTATTAAATATATTATGATTCTCAGCGTTCAGTTCAGGGATAACAGTCAGATTGTCACAGCAATAATTAACAAGAACACAGCTGAAAGTTTGTATGTCATCAGCGTTCAGGATTCATCAAACCTGTGAGCTGTTTATTATAAACCTTCAACCTGATTGTTTTCACTTCATTCAGTCGATCAACAGTCAGTTCTAATAAGACAACCACAGAGACAGACAGGCAGGAAAAAGCTGTCGCTGTGTCACATTTTGAGACTTAGAAATACACGTTTTTAAGAGATAAACAAACTGCCCATGCAGCAGAAATACATTTTATTGTATCTGTGCTGCCATCTGCTGGTAAACACCAGTTACTGTATATATTTACTTTACTAATCCTGTATGTGTGTGTGTGTGTGTGTGTTGTGTGTGTGTGTGTGTGTGTGTGTTTCAGTGTGGGAGTACTTATCGCCTATGCTGCAAACCATAATGTCAGCACCCAAATAAAGAGCACACGGCGGCTCATCAACACCAATATGAGAGACATGAAGACATTCGCCAACAACACACCTGCGGTATGCACACACACACATTCTCATGTATATATATACACACCAAAAATCATATTTTAATTATTTTTTTGCACTGCTCTAATGTGTAATGTGTGTTTTCTGTTGCAGCAAATTGAATACCTGACAGCCCAGTACACCACAGCAAAGAACAAAGTCCTGTCAGAACTGGACAGTAAGTTAAACTCAGACTGTTTACATACTGTACAGTATTTGTCTAATGTCTCTCATTTTGTTTGCGTGTGACTGTTTATCTATAAAATGTATAACTGCACTGTTGTCATTGAACTGACCTCTGATCCTTCCTGACAGACATTGGACCTTTGCTTGGTGGGAGGATCCACAGTCAGCTGGAGAAAGAAGTGGTTCCCTCACTGGACACTGCGCTGCGTATGGCAGGAGGTAACACATATTATCGTGTATTAGCTTATAATACGACCTGCTGTTCAGTTCAAACAGCTGAGACATAAGCTACAGTACGTTCACGGCACTGCAATTCTCATTTATTGCTCAGATCTGATTTTTTTTTTGGGTGTGTTTTTGTTTGGCTGTTCACATTATTCGTTAAATGTGGCCCATATCACATACCTATATTTGATTTGGACCCCATATGAAAGTGACCCAATCAGAAAAAGGTTATATATAATTTGTGGTCACATATGAGAAGAAAAATATACTTTGAATCACTTGTGCCTGCAGTGTGATCACAATGTATCACAATGAAGTGCTGCTGTTACGATATCCGATCGGGGATATTTACTTTTTTTCAGCCATGAGCCATTTTTGATACAATGTAAAATGTTGTTCATGTTTTGTGTGTTAAAACCTTAAGAACAGGTCAAACAAAACTCCATTGTTTCATATCAAATACAAAATAATATACTTTTATCATGATGAATGTTACAATAAACTGAATTTGTAAACTGAAAGTCGAATTGCAAAATACACCTAAATGTTCGCTTTGTAAAATGTTTCTACCCTTATTGGGTGATTTCTTTTTCCACGCAGTTTCCCCTCTTATGGTTTTATTACAGCAGAATTTTAATGTGTCTTTTTTACAGACATATCCTCACCATTTTTTTAACTTTTCCTTTTTCCTCTCTAACCCCCTCACATTTCCTTTTATCTAAAGCAAAAGTTGAGAATGCCATCAAAGGTAATTACAGCTGATCTGGGTTCAGTGTTTCAGTGCTCGTGTCTTGGTGTCAGTGGATCCTGATCCTGAACCGCTCTCGTACACTGTAATTTGGCTAGTTCTGTGTTGGTTACGTGAATTGTGGATGTATAATAGCATAAATCCTTTGAAGGTCACCAGTTTGACAACACAAAACGACACACAAATGTAGATTATTTTAAGAAAAGAAGAAGAAACTTTTGATTCATTTCCATCCATCGTGTTTTCTCCTGCAGCCATGCGGGAGACCAAAGAGGCCCTAGAGAACGTCAGCTCCTCCTTGGAGGTTTTACAGGAGGGGACAGGGAAACTTCAAGCCAGACTGACGGGGGAACGCGCCTCTCTGTCGAACACCCTGTCAGACCCCGCCTGCACTAATGGAGCCGTGTCTCACACCTGTAACACCATCCGCTCCACGCTGTCCCAGCTGGGAATCAGCGCTGACTTCTCCAAGGTACCAAGGAACTAAAAAGATTGTCTGACTTGTGAAAATGACTGGAAACATTTAAATATGACTGTATTTACTCATCTTCCCTCATTTCTCTCTGTCGGTCAGCTCCGAGATGTCAGCCATGCCTTGGACAATGTCGACACTGTACTGAAAACAGACCTGACCAACATTGTGCAAAAGGTTAGTCTCTGTCTCCAGCTCTTCATCATCCTCCTGCTCATCTTGTCACTTTCTTTTTCACCCCATATTATTCTTACAAAACACACCCTGGTTTAAAAAAAAATGATATCTTAATCATCTTTTCTCTCTTACTGTCCACCTCCAGGGTTACTCATCCTTTAATGACACACCAAGACTGGTTAAAGAACAAACTAAAAACATTGTCTCAGGTACACAAATGTGTGTGTATACTGTATGTTTATGTATTTAGTTTGGCTAACAAATTATGCTGTGTGCTTCCTCTCCTCTTTACTAAGTCTTTCACTTTCACATTTTTCTTTTCTCTTACCTTCACCTGCATACTGGTGAAACTACAGCTCTACCTCGTAAGTCTTACTTTGTCCCTTTTCACTTCCTGTTAAAAGCCGCCAACCCCCTCAGGCCTTCTGTTTGATGTAGAAAAAATTGCACTAATTCCTGTTGCCTTTCTGATTTTTTTGTTCCTGTATTTGTTTGCAGGAGTAAAAGGCATGCTGGATAAGATTGGCACAGAGATCAACGGCTTCTCCAAGATGTTCCCAGTGGAAGCTTCTCTGGCCAATTTCACCATTTTCCTCAACCAAGGACAGAAAAACATTGAGTCTTATTACCCACAGATCGACCAGATGGATTTCTACAGGTTTGTGCATGTTGTCTGTCTATGTGTGGTAAAAAGTCTGGCCCGCACAAGCTTAACTACTTTTTTTAGGGTTAAGACTTGTTTTTATATTAATGTTTAAAGTGTTAATGTGAAAACAATGTGACAAAGTGAAATGGGTCGCTTGTAGTAATAAACATATAGAGAATTATCACCAGAATCTGCAGCTCTCTCCGGCTTTACAGAGTTTAACACAGAGTTTCAGCTCATTGTTTAGCTGTCCGACCTGCAACTTCACTGTTTTGGTTCATCAAAAAAGTTCTAGAAACCCACTGTACACTCCCTGCTCAGCTCCAAACAGCAGACAGACACAGTTGGCGACTAGCTAGTGAACATAGTGGAG